ATATAAAAATTAGATTGGCATACACGTCTCTGAATCTTTGATCCGTTCCTCATAAGTGAGAGTCACCAGTCACCACTAACACTAATTAGGGTTTCGAACTTCGGCAGTCAATGTACGGCGGGAAGTGGCGGCGCTGCACGAGGTCTTCAATTCGCTCGACAATATTAGGTGAATTAAATCAATCTTATCTCAGGAATCATTGATTTGATTGCTTTATGTTATATATGTTGAATTGCTGGATTTGCTGCTATTTTCTAGTTAGACTTTAGAGATTAGGTTAATTTTCATCAAAATAAAGAAAGCAAGCAGATTCATCATTCACAATTTCGAAATTCAATTCATTTGTTAATTATTATCATTTATTTATAATAATCATATTGTTGCTATGTTGATAAATTTATCTTATTGAAGATTAATTTCGAATCCGACCTTGTCTGTAACCTTGTTTGCCTGTTTTGCTTTTGGTTTGCTACTCTTGAGTTCCCTAACTTTTCTGAAACACAACTTAATCATCATCTCGAAATTCATAGCGAAACTTAATCGTTGATTTCAGAATTTTTATTGTTGTCGCTTTGTTGATTAATTTCGACTAACTGTTTCATATTATTGCTTGATAAAGTGTTTATTTTCTGATATTTGGGAGTTTTTATGAAATGGGCATGAATGATTTTGTGGGTTTTGATCGTTTATTTTCTGATATTTGGGAGTTTTTATCAAGTGTGTCATGTTTATAATCTGATTTTTGGGAGTTCTTATGTTTTAGGTATAAATTTACATGTGATTTTTGATTTGATTTTTTGTTTGGGCATGTCCCTGCCAGTTCTTTCTCCTTCAATTTTTACTTTTACTGCTGCTCCATCCAACCTGTCCCGTTTCAACCTTTACACTTGCATTCTTGTTTGGTTGTATGATATTGAGTTGATATTGTTTGGTACTTTGGCTAACCATCCGTAAGCTTTTGTGGTTCATCTGTTAAACTTGTTAATCTGGTTATGGTTATGTTTTTGTGGTGTCACTCTTATTGCAAAGAGAAATGTTTGTGTCACCACCAAACTCGATACATTTTCATCTTGTGATTGATAATTGATGGTGCCACTGGTATTTAGAATTAGGATTAAATTTTTTTCTTTTCAATCCTAATTCTATCATTTTTTCTTTCAAACCTAATTCTATCATTTTCCTTTCAATCCTAAACCTGCGTATTTTAGAGTTTTATAGGATTGAAAATAAATATGATAGAATTAGAATTGAAAAATTAAAGATTAAGATCAATTCAAAAAAATATTTTTCCTACGTGGCGTACTCACTCTATGCTTTCGAAATCGTATCATTTTAGAATGTATATATTGATTTATTTTTTTGTAAGGCAATATAAATGATGTATATCATCTGTCATCTGATGTAATAGGAACATGAAAGTCTGAAAACCCTAATTTGTATTCATGTCACAACATTAAATAAAACTGTAGTGGGAATGAATTTTATTGAAAAAAATAATGATATTGAAAGAGGGAAAAGGTAGGCAAATGAGAACCAAGAGTATCACCATGGTTAACATAACACGATGAAAGAAGAAGATTGCAAATAAGTTTTCATATGAATGTATAATGTAACAATGTGGAGAAATGAAGAAGCTCGCTCAATAACCTTTTAATTGAAATTTGATTGAGAAGGACGAAAAGCTAAAGGCAATTTTGTTTGGAAATTCTTGATATGAGTAATATCTAAATGTGTGCGATAATAGCCCAAATCTAATTCCTTTTGCCTTAGTATACTCAGACATCTAGCTGATTTGGGTCAAATCCAACATTTCAAATGTAATGACTATTCCATTCCCCTGTTTTATCTCTAAAGCCAAACAAAAACTGATTTTATTTTCCATCAAAAGTTACTCCACTCTTGTGCAGATCAGAATGTCTTCTGGAAGCTTTAGTGAGGGTTCTTCATCATTGTTGTTGTCATCGAGGCGGGTGGAAAATACGGTGTTCTTGTTCATGACTCATAGTCCATCAAATCGTATCGCTCACACCTTCTTCTGCTGTGACATCCCTACCAACTTGCCTAATGATGAAGTCGACTTCAAAGATGATTTAGAAGCGGAGAGGCTAAAGCCAATATTGGAGTTTCCCTCCAGTGAATTCCCAAATTTTATGACGTGTACGCAGCTTGGGTCCTGTTTTTATTTTCTGGGTGGGCAGCTCCTTCAGATGGGTACCAATGTTGAACAGATATATCCTTCTAATGTGTATATGTTTAATGCAACTACAATCACAAATACTACTTCTACTCATCCTACCCCATTAGAGTGCGGGATGAGGAGTGGGAAGCCTCGTGCTTGCACGTTTGTTGCAGATGGAAAGCTTTACGTTTTGGGTGCTTTCCAAAATATCTGTGGCCTGGATGAAAACTATAAATCCATACAATTATTTGAGGTCTATAATCCTGAAACGGGCAAGTGGCGGAATCTGAAGGATCCTCCCGTGGAAAAACCACTACACTGGCGTATCCCCTCGTTTGAAAGAGTGTCTGAGTCTGGAGACAGCCCTTACTATCCCTACACCCGCAAGGTGGCTTTGATTGGTCGACCAGCAGACTCTCGTTGTACGATTGTGCTCGAGTTCAATCTGGACACTGAAGAATGCACTCCAATGAGGCAGATGATTCTGTATCTGCCTTTAGGTTTGATAATGGGTGACACAGTGTACCATCTTGGCGTCAGAGGAATAAAGTATTGTCAACCTAAAAAGACGAAGATTTTACCAAATCATCCATGGATGATGGGGGAGGAGTTGTTTACTTTGCCAGGAGACCCTTGTTTTTGTGGGTTGCAGAATGCTTTTTGCCACCTTGGAGACAAGCATTTCTGCTATGTGAGTACTGAGCTTGTTGGCCGCCGATGTTATGGGGGTACTCACCTTTTTATCCGAATGGGTGTTATTAGAGTTGTACAAGAGCAGGATTCATCCAGGTCTGAGTTGCTATATTCTGCCAAATTTGATTACGAAGTTGAATTTTGCCTGTTTCAATAATAGGTTTCCCTTCATTGACTGCTATGGGCTCTACCTTGTAAGTTGTCTCTCTCTGCCCCTTTATTTCTTACATGTCTTAGATATTGTGTTACAATTATGTGGATTGTGTATGCGTAGTTACCTGAAATATTTTGTTTTAAACAAGAATATGTGTTAGATAAACTGTGTTTAGTAACCATTCCGCGAGAAACATGTTATTATTTATTTTATTATGAGTATTTTGCAGGGATGTACCAAGAAAATAGGGCATTTTGTGGGGAACTACCATGGTAAATTTTTTTTGTGGGGAAGTACCACGATATATTTAAGTTTTGTTTTAAGGTACCAAGAGGCCATTTTCCGATGACAAAGTCAACTTCCCAGCCAGTTGACTACTCTACTTACAACGATTTGTCTTAATTATACCACGATTTGGCTAGTTAACTACTCTTTGTAAGCTCACAAGCTTTGTTAGAGAATAACACGAACCAAAATTAAGACAAATAGTGGTAACTATAGTAGTCAACTAGTCGGAAAGTTGACCATTTTACCAGAAAATGAACTACTGGTACCTTTAAACAAAACTTAAATTTATTGTGGTACTTCCCCCTCCCCCCCCAAAAAAAAAAAAAAAAAATTTACCCTGGTAATTCCCCACAAAATACCCTATTTTCTTAGTACATGCCCGCAAAAAACTCTTAAACATTCTAAAGTATTGACTTTTTCTCTCAGGTCCAAACTTATTCATCTAATTTGACAGTAAGGGTCCTTGTGACCTGATAACTTACTTTTTTCATGTTTTGAATTTCATTTGCATTATCTCTCATTATTGTTATTGTTGAGTCTTGAAGTTAGTTTGTGATGTTATTTGGACAGTTTTCAAAAAGAAAGATGGCGGGAAGATTCAATTCACAGTTTCTTATAGTGTGCTTGTGTTGATTTGTTAATAATGGTGAGGCATAAATTGTGGCACTCTCAGAAAGTGTGAAGATATGACAACAATATATTTGGTGAGGAAAGCTTTATTGAGAGAAAGATAAATGAAAATTTTCATGACTTGGGAAGAAGAAAACAAAACCAAAAAAAAAAAAAAGGATAAAGGAAAAAAGAGAAAAAAGAAAAGGAATGTAGTAAACAGAGGGTAAAAGGATTTAATGATTAAGGCCATGCCTGGAGTAGGGGTCCTGTATTAATTAAGTAGTAATAAAGGTCAAACTAAGGAAAATATAAGTCGATAGAGGTGGTGATAAAAAGAATAAAGCGGTAATAGTTACCCTCCATTCCCCTTGGGTAATATCTACTCTATCTCTCCCTTCCCACCACCAAGTCACTCTATAAAGATTATATTGTGATGTTTGATCCAATATAGTATCAAGACGAGTTTTGGATTTCAAAGATTCTATTTAAGACTATACATGCATACATGACATTATTTTATTGGTTGTAATGTTCTTTTTTTTTTTTAATTATAAAATTAACAATTGTTGTGTCTATATTGAAATTTGGGGATGAAGTGCAAAGATATTGAGTCTAATATAATTAAAAGTTGGTGGAAAATTGATGTGGCGGAGTGTTAGTTTTAGGGATAAAGTTACTTTAAAAATCAGAAATGACAATTATATACTTTCTCCGTTTTTTTTAGATGATACATTTTGCCACGGACTCAGACTCTTAGGCATTTTTTCAAGAGGAGAGAGATAGAGAGTAAAAAAGGTGATGATCCATGTGGGTAGGAAAGATTTAGAGAGAAGGGAATGCCAAAATAGGAAATGTATCATCTAATTTAATATTGTCAAAATAGGTGTATTAACTAATAAAAAATGGAGGAAGTAAATATAAATTAACACACTTGTTTATAAGTGATTTCCTTTACATCTATAAAAATATTAGGACTTTCATTCTATTATTAGTTAGTATTATAGAACTCCTTGCCTAGATTTTGTTCTAGTACTAGATTGAGATATATTCTAGTTGCTTTTCTTAAATTTATGTAACGGCTCCTATTGCTCATATACATTCATTTATTGGTTCCACTTGTGCTCCAGGACAAGGAGAGCTAAACTAGATGTTACCCACGCTTGCCCTCCCTAAAATCATGGATTCTATAAGGTTCAGTCTATTGTTCTTATGTTGCCTTGGTTTTCGAGTTATGTTTTACCTTTTGCTAGATATACAAGTTACATATCTTCAATGGTAATTAAATGTATTTTACTTTTGATTATGAGACAATTTGCATATGAAAATGTTTATCTTTTGGTTTTAGTTGTTTCATTCTATTCTTACCATAATCCATTATGATGATCATTAATAATTTGGAAATTTGTTTAGTGTACAAAAATAGAACTTTAACAAAAGGTGTTTCATACCCTTATTTATTAACAATTTTTTATATCATTAACTAATTAACAAAAAATTGATTACTGCATAAGTAATGACCAAATTTGTCAAAATACAATGACTAATTTAATCTCTTTTAACCACAAATTATTGTTGAGGTTCAACCACAAGTGTAATATAAGGCATGAGCATTGAGTCATTTACTAAGGTTTTTGACATGATAATTTAGCAGATGATAGGGTGAATGTTGAACATTTCCTTATGTTGAAAGATTTGCAACCATTGTTTTACATATCCCTTGCCTGCTAAACTTAGGAATCTTGAAGTTATGTGAGAATAAAAATGCTAGTTTAATTGTTTGTTTCTTTGTATACTCTTGCGCCAAATGTGGTGGATTCGATTTTCACAATTGACCTGGCCATATCAATCTGCATATCAATCTGCAACAAGAAAACTTGTTTAATTAATTAAATTATTCATTATGCCATAATTAGATTACTTTACTTAGATTTAGGTTTTGCTTATGAAGTGAATTTCAAAAATTATTATTCCATATATATATATATATATATATATATATATATATATATATATATATATATATATATATATATGTTTTCAAATAGGTATGAGGCAAGGCAGCAGGTGGGAATAGATGCGGCGAGTTTAACATAAAATCCATCCCCACCTTGATGTGTAATGATATAGCCCAAGAGGTTTAGATGATTAAACCCAATTTATTGATTAAAAGATAGGAAACTGAAAGAATTCGTTAAAGAACAAATAAAACAGGTTCGGATTTATTGAACAATTTGGGTTTGTAGTTGTTTTTGTGTGAATTTGGTAGTTTAACTTACAATTATTAAGACAAGCTATAAAATTTAAAGGTTCTTAACATTCTTTGAGACAAACTACTAAAATTGTTAAACTAACAAGTTTGATGACAAACAACTAAACTTGAGAGGATGTTTTAACGAACAAAACGAAAGAACAAGATTGATTTAATTTTTAAGTGAACGTGATTTTTCTCATTGATATCAAGGAGTATTTATACACTTGCTTTACACACAACTACTTGGAAAACTCTCCTAAATTAAGTAGAATAAGATCGTAAGAACCGTGTGAACATAGCTCAGTAGCAAGTAAGATATTGCCCCTATGTGCTTCTTCGGAATAAAGCCAGCTTGAGCATCATTGATAACCTCTCAAATCACTTGAGATATGAGGATCTTGGATATGAGCTTATAAACCATAGTGCAACAGGCAATAGGCCTAAAGTCTTCACCATCATTGGATTGTTCACCTTTGAAACCAAGGTCAGAGTAGTGCAATTCATTTTCTCATTCATTCTGCTAGTGTTGAAGAGGTTTGGTTTATTTTGTTTGAATCCATTTAAATTCATTTTGATTGAAAATGCTTTGTTTGACTCCATCACATTTTCGCTTGATTGCATTTGCATTATTTGAATCCGTTTCACTTGTACTTTATTCCATTTGCTTTGTTTGAACTCATTTAACTTCCTTTTGATTGAAGGTGTATAATTCTATTTGGTTTGAGGAATCCGTCTCACTTCTATTCGATTCCAATTGCTGTGTTTGGACCCGTTTCATTTCTACTATTTGATTCCATTTGCTTTTTTTTTTCTTTCCTTGTTGGTAAATAAAGGATTATATTAAGTACCAAAATGTCATTATACAACCTAAGAACTTTGGAGGTTCCAAGTAAGGACCCTCTAAAGGAAGGGTCCTATGCATGCTCAAATATATAAAACTCAACCTTCTGGATCTACATTGCCTTCTCTTCTTCAAATGGCTATGTTATCTGAAATTTTCAGTGAGTTACAGGTGAACACTAAGCAGTGAGGACCGAGAGCCACAGAGAAGTATTGTGTGCCTCAAGAAACAGTCTTGAGTGAGACACAAAGGTCGTTACCGTGTTTTCTTTTTCTTTCTTTTTTTCTTTTTTTTCGTGTGGGCAGTAATTGTCCTCTAATACATGATTTAGTTTTTAATACAAATAAAAGCTTTTGTTAAGTCATTAGTGTATGCAATAGATAAACTTCCTAACATATCCCAGCATCCCTCTGTGGATTTCTGTAAGCACGTACTGTGGTTCTATTACTGTAACAGTTTGGTAAAGTGATGTATTATCTTTATTTTGGCTGTGTTATTGAAGTATCACAATGCATTCCTTTTGTATCCACTGTCGATATTATCTAGAATTTGGTTGTGCTCTTGGTCCATTCATACAAGTTTCACAAAGAATTTCAAATGTGGAAAGTAACCTCCTCAGGCCTCCCTCATAGCAAATCTTTACAAGCATTTATATCAGATCTCACTAATCTAATACGAGTATAAGTTACATTTTGTACTGGTTAAAAAATCTTCCAAAATAATTACACTCTGATGAACCTAGTTTGTGCTTCCCGGCCCATAGTGCTTGAATGTGATTTTATAAAATGAAGGTCGGATTAAGAAGCTGATCAATTTTAAGTGTCTTCCTTCAATCAAGGGGACTGATTTCTCATTCTCAATATTTTGCACTCTTAAGCATTGCTTTCCTCCTCCGCCTGAAATTAAAAGAAGTTGAAGCGCGCGCTGATACGTCTTGGCCCTAGAGAGCCAACAGATCTCCGGAATTTTCCTTGTCTAGCCGGTGTCAAGCTATAATCCCGATCTTTCATTTTCTGCAGCTCCTCTGTCGCCAATTCAGCCTCATTCTCTGCCTTTTTCATCCTACGTACCCTCCTCTTCCTTCAGCTTCAGTTCTTCGATATTCCTCTCTGCTACAACAGTTTTCACCTTCATTCTTTCTCATCAGCCATCCATGCTTCTGCCCATGCATTTGCTGCTGCTGCCACTTTCTTGTCTGTAAGAGTTCTCTAGCTTTGGCTGCACATCCCGTTAAATATTCATACTCAAATTTCGATATCTTGATGGTAGAATTTTTCTTGGAAGCCCTTTCTCTTACTACAGTTTCTGCCAGAGCATTTGCTTCTCTTAATTTAAGTGCTTCAAGCTCTTCTATCACAGCTTCTAGCCTCTTTTCATTTTCATTTGTTTCTGACTCCCTGATGTTGTTTGTCAGTTGTCCCTCCTCTTTCCTCGCCTCCTCCTTTTCTTTCTCCAACTTCTCTAAAGTAACCGAGAAACTTGGTAACATCAATTTCGCCTCTTCCTCAGATGCTCTGGCACCCTCTAACCTGTCTTTGGCTTTAATAAGCTTCAACTTCAACTTCTTTATACACAGCTCATTTTCTAGCTCCCATTTTCTCAATATTTCTCTTCTCACTTGTAGTGTTTATCAGTTCATTCCTGATAACATCCACACTTCCCATAAGTTCTATTTCACCTTCCTTGATAACCTCCAACTCCTTTGCTCCCTCCAAATCTTTTCTGACCGACTGCAACCCCAATTTCTTCTTCATCCTTGGGGCTTCTATAAATCTTATTATCAATCTCCTTGATCAAATTCAGCTCATACTGCAATGCCTCGACATCTCTATTAGTAAGTTGTAACAACTTTTTTTATATCTTCCATTTTCTCAACCTCATTTCTCAAAGCACTGATCTTCTTCCTGCTTTCTTCAATCAGGAATGAATATCTTTCTGTTTCTTCTTTCCTCTAAGCCTCGATTTCTGCAAGTTCTTTCCTGGCCTGAATCTGAGCCAGCTCAACCAGCACCTCCTCTTCGTTAGCTTCTTCAATCTCGCCCGGCCCCTCATTCTCTCAAACACTACGCGTGTAAGACTTCAGTCTCAAGTAAGCACAATCTGCTTCTTTCTCCGCCATGAACTTCTCCCTGACTGCACACTTGATCTCAAGCTTAACCTTGCTGTGTTCGCGCTTCAAAACTTCAACTTCCCTCGCCACCTGTTCATACTGACCATTCTCTTCTTGCACAAGCTTTCCTCAACTCGTACTCCCTTCTTATACTCTCTAGCTCTCAGTTTTGATTCTTCTATCCTCAAGTTGAGCTCCCTAACTAGTTTCTTAGCCTTCAGAAGTTCAAACTCAACTTCGGATATTTCTGACTTACTGTTATCCTGTTCGCTTTGATTTGGCTAATCCCACTCGTTGCAACATGAAGCTCTGGAGCCTTTGAAGTTTTCTGCAGCGAAATTCATCACCAACAAAGTGGTAAATACAATGAGTTATTTTTACTTTATATATATAATGCTTAAAATGTGGTGATCCTGGATCGGTTCTCATAACCCCTTCTGGTGGCTCATTTGCACCAAAACAAAATAAGTTAGTACAATGCTTAAAATGTGAAATAATATACCTCAAAGTTTGATGATGCATCATATTGAGGCTTCTTAATTACTTGTACTTGATTAGCCCTTCCTCCATACATGTCAATGGCTGCTTTGACTGCCCCAACTTTTCTACCATTTTGGAACTCTCTCTTATCCATTTCAACTATAAAAGGAATAATCTGTATTCAGTGACATAAACCCATCATCTGAATATCAGTATATTCCACAAAATCTCAAATTTTTTTGGCTCATCTTCCACCAAATTTGTGTTGCAGAGAAAAGCCACAAAATTTGTTTAGTAGAAGATAAAAATTTGAGGAACCAAAAGATTAGAGGACAAATTGTTTGGTTGTTATTGTAACAAGTACAGTAGTGTCAAATGCCAGCAATTTAAACATTGTTTTTCCATGAGAACTTTATTTATTTTGACATTTTTATTGTAGTGGGACGTATATGAGGCTATGAGCTCTCCTTTTCAATGCTTTTAAAGATTTTGGTATTTGGTGGTAATATAGAATTGATTAAACAATTTAGGGCTCGTTTACTTCAACTTCAGTTCAGTTTAGTTATTTTGCTAATTAATTTGTAAAATATTTTAGTTCAATTCAGTTTAGTTCAGTTCTCAGCTGAAATAAACAGGCCCTTAATCTAGTTTGTGACTCTGTGTTGTGGCTGCGGTAAAGCGAGCTTCTGATGTCATTATTATAGTATATTTATCACCCCTTTTTGTGCATTATCATTTCTTAGAGAAGACAAAGGATAACTTTCCAAGTCTTTTTTTAATTTTACTCTGTATATGTATATGTTTTTCCTGACATTAATATCTAGTTTGATTAAACTACTTAAACGATTTTAAATATTATTGTAATATTGCAAATTAGTAAAAGGTTGGAGTATAGAATACATGTATATTTATTGCAATGTTTATTTTAGCATATTCATTTTAAACAATAGTAAAGATATGCTCTTTTTTAATATTATTTTAGTAAATATTATTTATGTTAATATATATTTGATACGAATATATTGTTTATTTATAAATTTACATTGTGAGATAAACTAAGATTTAATTGCTTTATTTAGAAGCTATTAATTAGGCAAGAATAGAAATCAAATAAAGAGAGACACGTGACAAGGTGTGGAGTGAGTGGTCTCTGTTTTAGTATAGATAATGATGATGATTTTATTAATACAAATGAAAATCTTATATTAAATGATTTAATTAAATATTATATATTAAATATTATTAAAAGTTAGATTGTATATCAAACTTTTAATTAAAATTGCTTGTATATCAAACTTCTGATTCATGAAAGGGATTCTTTTGTTAAGTTAGAGTGGTCCTTTGCTATGTTATTACGGGGAAGTATCAATCCAAAACAGCAGTTGGGACAAGCCGGTCAAGCGCGTGGCAAAAGCAGTAATAAACAGCAACTTCGAGGGCAAAACCAACATTTCCTGAGCAAAAAGTAGACAAAATTTGAATGGTTGTCCACGTGAATTTAATTGTTGTCCACGTGAATGGATGAATTACATTACTTGAATGGAGAAATACATTACATTATTTGAATTGTAAAATACAATACTCGGAATAAAACGACGCACGTTGTCCTCAAACTTCAGCAAAATTACGTAATTTGACACGGGCTGGACGTTGTTGTCCCAACCCCTGTTTTAGATCTATCATGACCCATGTTATTTCACCCCCATTGCTTTCTTTTTAGGTGAGTTTGATTTATATTAGCTATGTTAGTTGGAATAGCTCATTACACCTCACAAGCTTTTGTCAAATTACCTGATTATGTTGTCATGTAAGCCCCTAAGCCTGAGTCTCAAGGACAGGTCAGTTTTTGTGATCTGATTAACTAATGTGTGGATTAGGCCGCTGTTTACAGTAAACCTGATTATTACTGTTGTTTTTGACATTTTGTCCTTATTTAGATCTACTTTATGAAAATCAACTAAAATTAGTGACAATCAATGTGTATTTTGTAAGACATGAGTGAATTTGTATAATAATGATATGTATTCTTAGACTTTGGACTGATTTCTTCTCATGTTAATTAAGACTCTAAATTTCTTTTTTGGGTCTTTGTTAAGTAATCCTGTTGCAGCAAACGTTGAGTTATCGTCTAATAGTAAATTATTCAGAAGTTTTTTTGCATAAATTTTTAATTTACTAGGTAATCCTGTATTTTGTTATATAGTCCGGCAAAACAGAACCTGATACTGTTATGGAAGTATTTTGTAACACATTAGAGTTTGAGGGACTACACTTTTTAACCTTTTGTGATATTCAACCATAGATTCCTTATTTTTAAGAAATATATTTTATGGAATTTTTGTATATATTTGAGTAATTAATTAATTTTTATTTTTATTCATCTAAAAAGACTATAGCTTATATGACTTGTTGTATGCTTTTGAATTTTTAGAACTTTTTTTATATCTATACTAGTTTGTGAGTCATCAACCCGAAATCAACTTGGTCAAACTACCCTGAAACCAACTTGGTCAAACTAAGTGATAAATGAAATTGATAAATGAAATTGCTACTAAGTTATAACATTTACAAACATATACACTTATTTCTCTCTCATACTAGCAATACTTTAAATTATAAAAAAAATCCTATTTTAGACTCTACCCTATAGAAATCAACTTGGTCAAACTACCCCGAAACCAAACCCCACCCCTTCCCCGACCCCGAAACAAGGTAGGCACGACACGTAACTGTGCGTGCCAGGCCGTGGGCCACAAAAATGTATGTTACCCTAGGTTCAACGCGGGCTCCGCCGAGCAGGCCAGCTTGAAAGGAAATGCCATGCAATCTGTCGAGTTATATCTATACTAGAGTCGACGCGGGCTCCGTCGAGCCGGGCCAGCTCGAAGCACG